TGAGCTTCCAGATTCACATCCTCTGCTGCAAAGCGTAAGCAACACTGTATCAGCTTTCCTTCAATATAAAATTGACTCCACCGGTTCAAGCTGACTTTTCATCAATACCTAAATTTTCTTAATCTGCAGATGGATAAAAGAGAAGCAGATGATCCCTGCTCATACCTACTTGCAATATGGACCCCAGGTAACAAAACATCATATATCTACTAAAGCACACTTGCAGGACCCTTCCTGGAGAATAAAAATAAAAATTTCTAATTTTGTAGGCGAAGTATGTAATGCAGAAGACAAAGCAAATTATACAACGAACCAACTTAAAATTCACCTTAGCACTAATTGATTCTAATAGACATATCAATGTTCTATATCAGGTGAAACTGCAGACAGTATTCAGCCACCAGATAGAGATTGCAGCTCTCAAGATTCTGGGAATATGTGCACTGATGAAACATGTTTTTCATGCAATAGTATTCGCGAAGGAAACTCCCAAACCGTTAGAGGCACACTTCTGGTAAGGGGGGCTGTAAAACGTTTTTATTTTTAATGGCGTCTATAAGAAAGTATGACACCATAAAAGAACTTGCACAAAAAAAAATTCCTATTTTTAAAGTAATCCATCATTTCCAATTATGACAGATACCCTGCAGAACGGCTATGAGAGGAAGCTTTCCACTCAATGGTACCTATTTTCAAGTCAATGAAGTAAGATTGAATGAATTACGTGCAAATAAAAGTACTTTTTCTCCTGAAATGGACCTAGAGTTATAATTTGTTAATGTACAGGTGTTTGCTGACCATGAATCTAGCCTGAACCCTATCAATGTTCCAAGAAACTGGTTATGGAATTTGCCTCGAAGAACTGTGTACTTTGGAACCTCCATACCAACAATATTTAAAGGTAAAAGGGTCATAAATAAATGGGCTACCATTCATGATAGATATTTCCAAGAAAGCCTGAAATTATATCTTCTCTATATTTTGTATCAGGGCTATCAACAGAAGGTATTCAGCACTGTTTTTGGAGAGGTATGTGCAGATGTCAGACCTTGTTTTTATGCTAACTTCCTTCAATAATGCACTATACGAAGATGCAGACGTCTTAATAGAAAGTTAGTTAATTTGAGTACCATTCCAATCAAGCCAGTATAGCTGCTTGTCTAGAGATTCTGCACTTCTACACGAGGAAAGGCTATAAAACTATTAATGAAAATTAAATAGTTAAACCCAATTGAATGTACCCTCAAAATAAGCGTGTTAAGCCCCGTGGTAATAAAATAAACTGTATTCCTTAAAGGCCAAATATAATATAAACTTAAACAACGTAAGTAGAAGGATATCCACCAGTTCATGTTTCACAGTTGTTTTCTATTTGAATAAGATCTTTCCGAAGTGGAAAAACTCACATGCAGTACTTTTATGGGCCCCATAAAGGAGACCATGATTCTATTTCATGCTTTTCTCCACTGAATGATTTTATTCTTTAATGTAGATTTCTCTTGTTGGATAGATACATAAATTAGATCACGCACGATTGGTCAAGTTATACCATAAAACTTGTTAATTTTAAGCAAATACATCCCATGGAATAGGTCTTTGCCAATTGATACTCATTTTAGCAAAAGCAAAAGAGTGTTACACCATATACTCAACATCTTACCAAAATGACAGTTGTACTCCACCGTCTCTGGTCCTCAGGATAAGTATTTTGTCATCATATTATAGTAGCTTCATTTATGTGGAGTGACAAAGAACCGGTGTATTCACAATCTCAGTATGATGTCCTAAAAACAACTTCACCTGGAGGTTACACTCATAATTACTGTCATGTTTTCCAGGCTTTGTCTGTGTAAGGGGATTCGACCGGAAGACAAGGGCACCGCGTCCTCTCATTGCTAGACTTCATTTCCCAGCCAGTAAGTTAACTAAGGTAAAGTGAAGGACGGGTGAGAATTAGGTATCTAACAGTAGGATTATGTAGAAACAGCAATGGTAGGCCTGGAATCAGAACACTATTCTTCAGTGCAAAAGGAAATGAAATCAGCCCGCTGTATTCATGTCTGTAGAATGAAATCATAATATTCCTGCTCAAACAAGAAACATTTCGATTCTGTTGACATAGAAGCTGAAATAGAATGACATGCCTTTCTTCTAATTTATTATTACCCTTTTAAAATAATTTTCAGATTTGTAATCTTGATTGCTGGAGTCTTTATAAGTAAATGGAGTAGAAAGGCAGTACTCCGTAGGCAATATCCTCGGCCTTACACCCAGTAGCCACAGTGATTTTTAAACTGTCTAAGCTTAAAAAATTTACATATAAGCAATATGTTACTTTACAATCATGTTAGTATGTCGACCGTAGTGCTATCATATATCATTATCATATTTAAATGATAAATATGGGAAAATGCAATGATCTCTTACCTGCAAATTGAAGCTTCTGTATGTAAACACTTGCAGTGGTGTGGCTGAATTTTGATTAACAAATGTGTGAAGGTGGTGGAAGATTTTGTAGGGGTGATGTCCAGTCATGGTTTTCCATTGTATATTAACTGTTCGACTGCTTTAGGTCGGGTTTCTGGCTGACTTGGGCGCACCTCCTCGACTTGTTACTTGGGAACAAGTCAATCTTGATCACACTCGGTGATCACGCTTCCATTGTAATTATTAAAACCTTGTATCCTAAAATTTTCTTAAATGTAAATTTGGCTCGCTTCTACACTTTTAGTGTGCCGTTGGATTTCCATAAGAAAACTAATGCTTGCTTAATCTCTGTCCTGCCATTAATACTATATGTAATACCCCAAATTTTCATAAACCTTGAAGCGTTACTAAAAATTCATTTTTCTTAAATTTATTTTTCTTTATATTAGAGACGAAATACTAAAATAATATTCTTTAATAAAGAAAAAAATTGGAATATCCATAAATTCAAGCTAAACATAAAGATTTTATCTTTAAAACATAACATAATCACTAATTAAATAATATGTCTTTGATCGAATTAAACTAATTAATAAATTGAAGACAGAAAAACTTAATGTTTATTTTTCCTTTCATCCCCTTGGGAGTCCGCATCACCATCTCGTCACGGTTCTAATCGATTTGAACTAATCTATAAAGTTATTGTAGGAGTGAGTATTTAAAAAATTCAGTAAGATACATGTAGTTTGCATAGATAATTATATAACAATAAAATAAACACTTCACAGCACATTTCTCATGGAGTATATCGATGATCAAGCGACACAACCATTAGTAGTATTTTTAATTCCCGAAAGATTTCATATTTCGTTATAAAGAACCCAATAAAGTTTACATTTCGTTAGGTCGAACCCGAAGGTCCACTTGCATAAATTACTGAATATAAAAATATACGGAACCAAACAATTTGTACAAAAGTATTTTACCTCGTTTATTAAAAGGTTGTAAAATAATGTACGTGAAAATCGTTTTCCTTTCCTTCCTCTCCCCCTTGCCTTCGATTTCTTTCTGCCGTTTATGTATAATATCTTTTGTGGTCAATAATGAAATATTTGACACGACATTTTATAGTTGAAAAGATCATAGAGTTTTCGGTACAATGGGTGTCCCACTAGTCAAATAGATCTCACTTTAGGATCATGATTATCTTCAAGTCACAATTACTCATTGAATGTGATATGTTGATAGAACGCACGCGGGCGATTTTTGGAATGGGAAAAGTAGTATACAAATTGAAAGAATGCAAAAGGTAGTGTTTGAATTATAACTTTTCCTCAAACCTAAAATACATTATTTAATATGATCTATCCAAGAAGCATAATATTGATACCCTAAATTTCGCTCTATCAATATTTAATTATTTGGTTCAAATAAAATAGGAATTTAAAACCTATCTAATTATAGTCCTCAATTTTTTATTTTTTTTCAAAATATTAACAATATAACGTATAAAACAAATAAAATTTTATTCAAAAATTTTCGGAGTGTTATACTATCGCTATAAGTTACAAATAAGGTCATCTTCTCAATCAAGACTTCTTTCGGCGGGATGGTTACTACATTCAATATGTTGTTGATATGTATATAAAAGTCGAAACATCAAGGCTTGACTTTTATAGAATGCACGGTCGAGAATAGATCAGAGCTTTACCAAGGAATTGTCGATACGGTAAATACAGGAGAAACGGGGGATGAAGTTGGAAAAAGAATGGTTCTGCTAGCTTCATTTGTTAAGAGGTCCAAGTGGTACCTTTTTTTTTATGTTAACAATGAACAGAATAAAAATGAAGTTCATATTTTAAAAAAAAAGTGTTCTATGTTATACTTGAAAGAATGAATCTTGGCAAAGGGGGTGTAATTTTTATCGACGAACCTAGAGTTACAAGGTGATGTGACAGTTTATGTGGGATGATGAAATTTGACAGTTTAATTTTTATTAGGACATTCTATCAGCATAATAATAAATAGCATTAATCATCATAGATTTCTGTGTATAATCTAAGCATTGTGAGTTTCATTTTCTTCTCTTGGATGGAATTTTGATTGTCCTAGAACCACTTTTATCTTTTATCTTTTTTTTTTATAAACAAAAAGTACGTCGATAATTCCCAATATCTTAAAATTTTACTTGAATGCTTTCGATAATTCCCAATATCTTAAAATTTTACTTGAATGCTTTCGATTTGTAATGAGAGGCACAAAAAGGACTTGACCGAAAGCATGAGTTGAGTTTGAACTTGAGAGGATGAGGCGTATTGTTCAGGTAACAGAGCACGTGAAGAATTTGCAGTCAATTGAAAACAAAGAGAACCAATAGAGGTAACTTTAAATTAAAGAAATAAAGAGGTTTTGCTGGCTGTATAATTCGTTACATGGTTTAGTGTACAAAACATTTCACCATTTTCCTACCCTTAACTAACCAAAAAAGGATTGAACCAAAATTGCCTTATCCCATAAGCAAAGCATTGGAAGTCACACTCAAAAATGTTAATGCAGCTACTAAAGCCCAGGAATCACTCCGAATGCTGTTTCTGCTTCTTGTCTGCAGACCTGTGGACCTCGTCTTTCATTTTTGCTTCACGTCGCTCCCTCTTCACCCCCTTTGCTTTGTGAGGTAGTGCCACACTTCCAACCTATATACAAGAGAAGTTGTTAGTGTTTATCAAAGGCCTAGCAGCATAAGAAATTCGCTGAAAGGAAGTCAAACGAGGGACTGTTAAGTAACACTCGTAATTTGTGGTGGCCACTTGTTTCATAACAGGTGAATAAAACGCGGTTCTAACAAATAACAACATAAACAAAGACATGGTAGATGGGTAAATATACTCGATTAGCATAGGCAATAAAGAGATGGCTAGATCTCATCTGAGGTTAAATCAGGGATAGGTATCCAATGGCTACGATAGCACTACTAGTTAGAAGGTTCTCTTTGTAGTTCTAATCTGATTACTGTAATCAGTGGTATGTTCGGTTGTGTGTCTTAGGCAGTATTACCTTTTGATCTGGAATATATATCTTCCCAATTTTCCCTTGTATTGCATCTTTGGTAACATTTTTCTCCTGAAAATCAAGAGCCAGAATTAGAATCATCATCTTAAATTGTAAAAAAAAGCAAATTTTAACTAGGCCAACCTTTTTCTTTGTTAATTCAGGGGCTATCTTCATTGCTTCTTTTCTCAGGCTGTCATCGGGAAGACGATGTCTTCGAACCACCATATCCATGGATGGACCAACTTCAACCAACTCCATCCTTGGCACTACAGTGCCAGACTTTTTAAGTCGGAGTGCACAATGAGTAAAGAATATTTTGGTTGAGGATACGGCTGTGCAAACATATACGCGGTCCAGTCCAGCTAGGTTCAAATTAGTCACAACCTAAAAAATTTGAGATTTGTACTAATCATGTTAAATATTTGAAATTACATAATAGCAGCAGGGGTTCAACAATGACAATGGAACCAGAAGAGAACATAAGAATCCAGACAAACCTCTCCGTGAAACAAGTCAAGTAAAATTTCTTTTAAATGCTTCAGCTCTTCGACACTCTCAAAACCTTCTCCTATGAAAGCAAAAAAGGGTTTCGACCCAATTTGAGGGGCCAATTTTTTATCGTATGTGAAAGAGTTCAAGCTTTTGAAATTTTCAACCCCAATCTCCACAAGATCATAAATGTGGTGATCATAGGTTCGTCCAATAACAAGATTGTTTGGCCGCTTCTTTGAATGAGAACCAAACTGCACATAGAAAACCAGGAAAACTTGTTATAATGAAATAAGTGGCCCTGAAAACAGATTGAATTCGCTTTACTGTTCCATTTTCCTCATCTGCTGTCTTTTATATGATTGGAATGACCATAAAAATATAAATATAAGATGCAGATCTAGGAACATAATGGTCAGTATAAGTATTTCATCCCAAGGGGTGTACTTTTTTTATATTTGGTAGTGATATTCGTTCGTTCATTCATATTCATCTAGCTCAAGACAACTGTCAAGTGAAGAGGTCATGCATGATGTAAGACTAATAGCAGGAATATAGTCCAAGAAATGGATATGTCCATCAAATTTAGATGCTTATACTAGCTCTGATATTGAATGCCTGCCTGCCACCGAAATGACATTTTTTAGGATCAACAAGAAAACATAACAGGACAGATTGGAGTGCACTGCCTTAAATAAAAATCTAGGTCAATTATGAAACTAAGTTTCTTAACTGTCTTGCTTCAACATAAATCTAGGATCGTGAGCATTTTCTGAAATATCTGAGAATTATAACTTGTAAAAAGTGGTGCCAAATATTATCCAATAATGAACTAGTACGCACTATGTATACCAGCTAAATACTTGGTCACTTATCTAATGGGTTAGCCACTGTTTGGTGGGGATTAAAATCAAAATTTTTAGTAGATTTTAATAAAAATTGATAAAATGTATGGTTGAAAAGTTGTGAATCCCATGAAATGTATAGTTAAAATTAATTGTTGACTTTGACTTAAATTAAAATCTGAATTTTAATTTCCACCCAACAAGGGCTTATAAACTTCCTTCACATTAGAATGTAATTGTATCAGCCTATGATACAAACAGTTCTTCTTACTGGTAGTATCTATCGAGGTATCCTAAACAGTTTCATTATTCGCGCTGTTATAGCATTTATCAGCCTATGCTACAAGAATCTTGCTACAGGTACACGGGCGTGTAAACGCCCGTGTACCCAACCCCACGCCCCCCTCTCACAATGAGGGGGGCCCGCCATTATTTTAATCACCTCGGGGCCACCCTCATTGTGAGAGGGGCTGTGGGGTAAATGCCCGGGTACCAATAGCATAATCCATGCTACAAACAGTTCTTTTTACTAGTAGTATCTATCAAGGTATCCTAAACAGCTTCATTCATAACACTGTTATACAAATGCTTAAAAAGAACTCATCAGATAAATATACTTGGTGGTCCAGACTTGGAAAGAAACAATAAGATACTATACTTGGTGGTCTGTACTTGCAATTCAATAACCTGGATTTTTCATTTACCAAGCTAGACTAATATGGGTTTTAACGGATTTTCAAGGGCACATCAAATTTCTGTTTGTCACACCACCAAGATAAGATGGACAGAAATAAACTGAAACAACAATAAATTCACGACTAATTTGGAATACGAAAGAATTTTATGACTTAGCCCCCGTTTGAGCTCCATTTTTGCAGAAAATAGATTTTGTAATAGTTTTTGTTTTTTTGGAGAATGTGCGGTTAAAAAGTAGTAAAAGTTTTGGGTTTACCGTAAAATTATTTCATCGGGAGAATGTGTGGCTAAAAATGAGTTCGGGAAAAATGATTTTTTACTGAATGGGGCTCAAATGGGGGCATAGTAAACAGAAGGTCCAAAATTATAAGTTAAGTAACCAATGGAGATTTTACCTACCAACTATCCACTAAACAGTTTGCCGCCAACAAACAAAGGAATTCTGTTGTCTTCCTAAGCAAATTAAGTTCTTCACAAATCAGAAGAAAATTGTTTTCTGAGACGAAATAAAGCTGTCTGATATGAAATGTCATCACAATAAAATCAACTGAAGTTAATTAGGCACATTTTTAACAACCGAGCTGTCACGAAGGAATTCTACCAATCATAATAGAGTACTAATATATCTAACCTCACAATAAGCCTTTCTGTATAGGAACCAACACACACTTTCAATTACTTTAACACAAGACTTGCAAGAATTAACGGTAACAACGCCACCAAACCTCCAAATCTGGGAAATAAAAAATGAAAAATAGGTGCGGCAAAGGTTTCACGGTTACCACAAACAAACTGCAATCCGTTTTGAGCGAGAAAAACTCCAGAGACGTTTCGCCGCCACTCTCGAACGGTCTAATATTGTCATTTCTCCGCGAATACTTGACGGCATTATCCTTCTTCAGATGATATATTTCTGTCAGTAGTGAATTCAACACACTGCTAGTTTTTGTGCCGTGCAGTATTAACGTCTTCTTAGCAGTCTCCACCTGAAAAACTCAAATCTTCAATTTATCGAGCACAAATTGAAAACAAAAAATAACAACTTCATATTGTCCAGAAATTGGGGAAAAAAAATCGCTGACTTACAAGTTTAGGGGCACGTTTTTCTAGGTCTCGCTTGATTCTTCCTTTCTTCGGGGTCTTTATCTTCATCATCATTAGCTAAAATTTGGAGGAGCAAACGAAATACAATTACAAAACAGAAGAAACCTCAAATTGCGGATGCTGCGAAGTGGTTGACGACTAGGGTTTTTGTAGAGGGATTTTGACAGTAGTTATCCAAGCTTGGCCCATCTAATTTTAATTGAGGACCCAATATAATTGGCCCATCTCAGAGATACCTTTTGGGCCGAATAACAACCTGACCAAGTTTTAGTCGATGCAATTGGTCTACACACTATCATCTTGAAGTCAATTACTTCATTCACACAATTCTCTTAGCATATTGAGAATTTCGTGGATTGACTTCATTCACACAGTTCTCTTTGATAATTTAGTATGGGTAGGTATGGAAAATTTTGTTTTGATTGAAATAATGACTATTAAATTACTCGATCTGTCTTTAAAAATAAGCTTGCTATCCTTTTTCATCTGTCATTATTATAGGCCAAAAATGCTACTTGTACATACTTGGTACACAATCTCCTACACAATCCTCTCACATGTATGTGGGGTCCACAATGGGCAAACTATGAGAAAATTTTATATTTCCAACTATATTAATTACATTTTCTTAATCTGTGCGGAAATGAAAATAAGCATATTCTTTATGAGACGTAATGAGTATAATTTAAGCAAAATTAAAACTCTTTTATTCACACATTTCTCAGAGCTCCCAACTTTTACTGATTTTTACTCAATTATTATTCACACATTTCATGTGACCCGTAGTTAATTATGTGTTGTTTGAGAAAGTTAAAAAGTTGCTAAAAAATCAACAAGTAATTTTAACAACACATTTTATGGAACCCGCAATTTTTATTAAGTTCAATCAAAATCTTCTAAAACTTTTATCAAATGCTTTATAAAACAACCCCTAAATTTTGAATTAAACTCTTCTGAACAATAAATCATGTTACCATCTCAAAATTAACTGGTTCGCTTAATGAATGTCTCTGTAATTTATTTTAATTTTAATTTATTCACTTTTCTTTGTAAGTATTTCATTAATATTATTGTAAGTAGGATTAAAATCTAAATTAAAGTTAAAGTCAAAATTGATAATTAATTTTAACCACATATTTTATATGATTCGTAACTTCTCAGTTATGTATTTCATCAATTTTGATTAAATTTATTAAAAAATTGATTTCAATCCCCACCACACAGGGCTTTCTAGAATTTTGTGACAGATGTAACATAAGAATGCCTTGACCACAAAAGCCAAGTTTCCTGACAACTTGATTGTTATTGGTGTTTAATATATTGAATTGACTTTATTGTGTAAAGTACGTAATAATGATTGACCAATAATACGTTGTTGAATGATTACTTGTCACCGTTTGTCGTTACTCTAAAATGCGTGTTTAAACGTGAATTTTGACATTATCGCCTAATTAATATTTTTTTACAATAGATTTCTCCTAAACTTGCTTAGACTCACAAATACTTGAAGCTTGACCTGTCGTCCAATCACATTTTACATTTTTTAGAACACTATTATTACTTTCAAGTCTTCAATTACATTTTAAATGATTTGATTGGAGACGTAGAAATGGTAATTGGGCATAAGTGGTGGTAATCTTTATTTATCCCTTCTTTAGAATATGTAATTTGGTAAAATGGGCGGTATCTTTTTTGCGAGAAATGAAAGATCGTGGACATTTTATTCGTTATTATGGATTTTTCATTCTAACATGTGCTATTGTTGTTACGAGTTGACTTCATAGTAACTGAAGCGCGTGAATTGATTGATCGATAGTTGCACATTAAACAATCACTTATATAATAAACTATTAGTTTCTTTGTCATAGGTGACCTTCACTCTTATCCAATTACTAAATCTACCTCTCTAACTTATTCAAAATACTAATCCACAAAAGAAATCTATATAACTAATTGTTTATTTACATTTTAAAATAAAAAATTCCATAACAACAATAATGTATCCACAAAGACAAAATTTCACCAAAAGAAAGAAAAGCTAGAAATAAATGTGGACTCTTACACAATCACACTAATCATTTATTAGTGTTTTTGAATAAAATCACCATAAGAATAATAGCGTATTAGCGTGCGTACAAAGATAAATTCTCGCCAAAAGAAAATTACATAACAAATACAGGTTACCCTTATTACCATCCGATCGTAAATTCTACATCTCAATTTAAATCGAATTACAATCCCATATATTGTTCGTTCACTTAAAGAATGTCATTGTAATTTATTTTAACTTCATTCCATCTTTTTTTTTAAGTATTATTATTATTAGTGCTTTTACTTTTAAGCACTTTTGAAGTTTGGCCAAATATATTTTGTTGAACTTTGTGACTAATTTAAACCACAAAGAAGACAAGATTGTTGACAACATGATTGTTGCTCATGGTGGAACACCTTTGTTTGGCCTTCCTTTGGAATTTGTAATTGGGTAAGAGGTGGAAAACCTTTACTTGGCCTTTTGTCTAACTAGAAACCAAAGATCTTATCATTTTCATAATTTTTTTGTTACAAAAATAGGTAACATTGTGGTTATGAATTGACATCATGTCCCTAAAGTATGTAGTAGTAATTGATTAATGATAATAAATTGAATCATCACGTTTATTAATATTTTATCGTCTTCAACAACTTTTAAATCGATACAAAAAAATAAATTCTTCACGGTTTCAACTATTTTTTAATTGATAGAAGAAAAATGGATATAACAACAATGATATACGTAACTAATCGTATATTCTTCAATTAAAAAAAAAAAAACCTTATAATAACATGTAACACATCGACAATTCATCATTTCTCGTGAAATGAAAGACCAAACACAATTTTATTGGGATTTTTTATTCAAAAATGTTAAAAAATATATATTAGTTATTTGATAAATGTAGTTTATACACTTATTCGTAGCCTAAATCATGATATTTTATTGTCTTTTGGATTAAATTTTACTTAATTTATGTTATATTGTGTTTTGTAAGTAAAACTTTATATTTAATGAACAATTGGAGAAGAATGCGAAAGTGACGAAAAATGAAATCTTGGAGATAAATATTGTATTAAATGAGTTCGAGTTAAATGTGTCTCAATAGACTTGTATTGAAAAATTTAATTGGAGACCCAAATTAATATATATATATATTAATATTATACGATACACACAGACAAAAGGAGGGGGCGCTCGAAAGAAACAGAGAAATAAAAGAGAGAAAAAAAAAAGGAGAGAGAAAACGTTGGGGAAAAACGTACAGGAGAAAAGGCGGCTGTTGCAGGAGGAAGAAAAGAAAGAAAAAGAGAGGGGGGGTGCAAACACAAGAAATTTCACGTTTCGTCAATTTTTGGTAATATCTTTCCACTTTTGCGTGTTTTTTATTTTTACAATATAAATAACTAATTTTTATATTAGGAAAAAAAAGTAGTCGACTAGTGGTCCTTTATTTTTCTATTCAAGATTTATGTGATTTATTTATTTATGTGTTGGTTTTATTATGAGTTTAATGCATAAAATTACCTGATCAATAATTTGATGATTATATAAATCTCTTACGGATCGAGAGGTGAGTTTGATGTTTAAACCATATAATAAAATCAGGTAAATAGAGAAAGAAAAAAAAAAAAGGGGAGAGGAAACGTTGGGGAAAAATGTACAGGAGAAAAGGCGGATGTTGCAGGAGGAAGGAAAGAAGAAAAAAGAAAGAAAGAGAAAAGAAAGAAAAAAAGGGGAAAAAAGGAAGAAGAAATGCAAACACGAAAAATTTCACGTTTCGTCAATTTTTTGTGATATCTTTCCACTTTTGTGTATTTTTAATTTTTACAATATTAATAACTAATTTTTATATTAGGGATAACAATGTAATCGACTTATGATCCTTTATTTTTCTATTCAAGATTTATGTTATTTATTTATTTATATGTTGATTTTATTATGAATTTAATGCATTAAATTATCTAATCAATAATTTGATGATTATGTAAGTCTCTTACGAATCGAGATGTGAGTTTGAGATTTAGATCATGTAATAAAATCCAATAAATTAACATAACATGTAGAGATACATATATTAATTATTACGATCATAATATAAATTTTTAGAACTAGTGTTTCGTTTAACTAAGGTTGATTCACATAAAGGTATGTAATTGAATTAGTTAAATAAGTTCAATGAGAACTTGAAAGCGGTAAATTGAATACAATAGATGAATCAACACTATATTAGGTTATGAATCTTGAATTAAGAATTAAAGTGATCAATATATGTAATTGTTATGCTCTAATATTCATCACATATTTCAATTATCCGTTGTTTGCAATCTCTTTATATTTTCAATTAGTCAAAAGTAATTAGGAAAAATAATTACAACCATCATAATTATTTACTTGCTTTTATCAAATAAGAGTTATAAAAATTTTGATTAAGTTCTAAAGTATAGTTTTCGTGGGAACAATATTCGAACTCAAATGTCCATTATACTGCTTGTTGCGATATCGTACACTTGCGATATAAAAAACACAACAAATTTTTGGCACCGTTATCGGGAACTATTTACTTTTAGTCTTAATTTTATTTTAATTTCAACTGTTATTTGATTTGATTTGATTTTACTTTCTTTTATTAAAAAAAAAGTGTTCGTTGTATGCTCCGTTCTCAGAACGACGATCTTGAATAGTTTGACTCGAAAATATAACGGTACTTTCAGGCGAAAATATAAGGAACACAAACAAAAACAGTAATATCAAATGGCTGAGGATCAAAATATTCCTATTCATATTCAACCAATTAGACAAGTGACCGCAAGAGTTGCGATGCTACCGGATCAACAACAGGAGTGAGGGGAAATAAACGAAGGAGACTTGCCATTTTCAATGTTTTTTAACGCCATAGCCGTGCTTGCACGTTCCAGTATTGTGTATCCAGATTTCAGGGTAAATAATTTTCAAATAAGGGCAAAGTTGATCAATTTGATGAGCAACACTCTCCAATTCTAGGGGCTACCTCGTGAAA